CACATTTATCTTGTGGTATAACACAACGTGAAAAAAAATTGAGTTTTTGCACTGGAAATGAGCACTAGGAAACAATTTAATTGAAGTGTTTCTTAAATCTGGAAATGGTTTTGTATTCACAGACCCCCTGCCAGAATGGGCTAGTTTCTGCTTCCTTTCACTTCCAGTGTCCAACCCACTTAATTGGAGTTTTCTGAAAGTGGTAGCCGAAAACAATTTTCTGAATCTTTATTCATGTTCTTAAACGAATTCCCTGATTTCCAATGTATGAAGCATATAATAGCTCCCCTTAGGTTTCATACGCTGAGTTTATTTTGTCCTAGTATCCCTCTACTGGGGAAACCTTTGCATGCCTTCTTAAGGAAGGCAATTTTAAGCACCTTCCCCAAGTGGCACAAAGGGCACTTAGTGAACCTGAAGCTAATGTTCACGTAATTTTTAATTAATCTTGTAACCAGTTGGTGGCACTGAGATTTGAAAGCAGACTTCCTGACTGGATAGATACTTGCAAAGGTGTTTGGTTTTGTAAAAATGACTAGTCTTGTGAAACTATTGAAATGCATAAAGGTAAGTGTCTAGGGGTACGGTTTTACGGCTTCAAATACATGGTTTATACATTAATGATTAAACCCAGTATTTTTTAACATTTGAAGACCTATCACTTTGCCTTCTTTCTTTGTGACTTTATGTAGAACTATATTAACAGCGTAAAATAAATTAAACGCTAGCTCAAGAGAATAAAGGTTTCAGAGCAATCATCAGAAATATAACCTTAGGTTACATAAAAAGGAAAAAAAGGCAGGGGGTGTGGGGGCCATCCTGTTCCACTGGGTCACGAACCAAATGGCCATGAAATAAAAATAACCTTTCTATTGTTCCACAGAATGTGAGTAGAAATTAATATGCTAAGTCTGATTTCACTAAAAGTCCGGATTCTGTTTCTCTGCATATATTTAATGTATTTGGAGTTGCACTGATGACTTTCTAGTCACTTAATGAGGCAGGTTTAGATGTGTTCTTCCTGTACAAAACTACATTTTTCATTAAGAAAAAAAGTACCCTGACAAAATTCATTTCTCTTGAATGAGTCCATTAGATTAAGTGCAATAAAATCATGAAAATTCCTTTCTCCTTTTCAGAATGGCCAAAGAGCGTGGTAAAGAGGCATGACTATTCCCGTATCCTAAAGGCTTCGAAAGGGAAGACTAGGGTAGGGTGGGATTCCTCAGCCATACAGCCAGCTTACTGCCTGAAAAGGGGCTGGATAAAGGTAGGATTTAATACAAAAGGTCAGGCTAGAATAATACCTTTCCACTGAAAGGAAGTTGAACTCGGTAAAAATACTTGGTGAGGAAAGGAAGGGAGTTGCTGCTATTACTGAAGGATGGTGGAGAAGCAACAGATACTTCAGGTTTGAAAGAAGAGCATCACTGGAGTGGTGGGCTATTCGGTGATCATCAGTTGGCGGTCAGGTTTGGTATTTTTCTTGCACTCAGCTGCTCATTAGGAAGGACGCAGCAAGGTTCAGGAGTCCCAGGCGGGTATTTAGGGCTGAATAGTCAGTCAGTCAGCATGAAGACCCCTGGGATATAGTAAATGACTGTCAACAGTATATTTTTAACCTCTTAGTCAGTGATGGAGAGAGAGAGGGATGTTTACCTAGCAGACGAAATACCATTTAAGTAGGAAATGTTGTGTTCATCTGGTAAAAGTATACAGCAGTCAGATTGGCAAAGCATTAAAACAAAGTGCTGCAATTTTTCCAGCTTCTTGCTTGCTGTCATTTATGTGGAGAGAAGGTCCAGGAATGTGATCCTGCCCCAGCTGAGACGAGTCTGTCAGAGCCAATATAGTTTGCATCTTCCCTAATTCTCTGTTGCACTCAACATTTTCCCTCTGGAGTTTTCCCTGCCTCTGTGAGGGCTCTGTACAGCCCCGGGCTGTGCTCGCTTATGGCAGCCTGGGGGAGGAAGACAAGTTGCATGTCCTTAATCTTGACACCTCCTTGTCTCTCTGCGTGTAGTCCCTCATGCTTGCAGAAGCATCTTGATGTAAAGAGAGGCTAATAGGAGGTAGGATGTCTCTTATCCTCTGTGTGTGTCTGAAAGAAGGCAAAAAAGCATCCTCCTCCTTGCTTTGTAAGTCAGTGCTGCCGTTTCTGTTGCTGATGGTGGCAGTCTTGCTGAAAGTGGCTTAATTTGGAAGGTCCATTTGCAAAGCCTTGAGAAAACGTTGAAGATCTCATTGTGAGAACTGGGAAATCACCAGGCTTTGTTGAGATTGGAAAGGAATATTGTGCTTCCATGTTGTGTGGCTTCCCCCAGTTAGCCCTTCCTGTATTCATGCTATAAAATTCAGTTTTCCTGAAGTCCTGTGTCATATAGTGGAAAACCACAGCCCTTCTCCAACATTTTGTATTGCATAGGAATTGTTGTTCACTAAGACATGATCTATTTGTATTTTCACACATTTAATTGGACAGAAGCATATGCTGAGAAAGAAGGAATCATGTAAGCTCAAGATCTTCCCTGTCGTAAGTGGTTCAAATTTTCACCAGAATTCCCCTGATTTTGTATTTTATGTCTCCCATCCTGTGTGAGAGGCTGCTTCCCTCCCAGCTGCAGGCACAGTGGGATTTTTTCCTTGAGCAGAGCAGGATATGGAAAATGGTCTGTTTTGGGGTGGGGTTTATGGAGTGCCTCTAGTAAATGAACCTGAGAGTCTCAGAAGAGAGATGACTGCCTGTGGGAAAAACCAAAGATGGCCCTGCTAGCTACTACAAAACGTTGCTGTGTTTTAACACAGAAGTCATTATTTTGCTAGTGAATGTTCAGAAGAATATAACTGTAAACATACCAAGTAACAGCTAAGGGAGACGAAAGAGATGTGGACCACTTGGTTTAAGCTTATAATTTGAAGCTGGTGGAACTACTTATGTAATTAGGCAGATATTTTGGCTCCTGTTGCTGTGGTATTTTACTGGAAGACCCAGAATCGGTGTTGTCTGTGTGTTCAGAGAGTGGTATGTTGCAAAATCTGCAATTCTGGGGCTCCTCCTCCAAATAATGGTGGGGGGTTGGTTGAACACCAGCCTGCTGGGGCAGTGCTACACCCTTGTACACCACGAGTTTGTAACTGGTCCGGGTTCCCAAGCAAGCATCTCCAAGGGTGAACCATTTGCCAGTGTGCAGGTGCCTGTCGTGCTGTCTTTAACATGCATGTCAAATCAGACCTTTCTGAGACTTGTGAAAAATAGCTCTAAAATGTCTTCAAAATACCAAAGAACTAAGCATTAACAGGCTGAAGGACTGCAGTCCCGATGGGTTTGCTGGGGACAGGCATGGGCAATCACCCCCAGGATTTTATTTGCTGGTAACGTCAGCAGGGATTATTTTTTTGGTGTCTAAGAAATAACTGGTTCATCTCTCAGAAGAAGTTCCTTCAAGTCCTGACGACGTTTCAGAGCGCCTTTGGGATAACGCACAGAAACTTGTTGCTCTGTGGAAATAAGTTTGCTGATGTCCCTGTGTGTCCGTGTGAGAGCTGTAATCTCGCCCGTCGCAAGGTGGCTCTGAGTCTTTGCCTCTCACATCTGGGGTGGTGTCCCCGTTGCCTAAAGGGATGTAGCCACCCAGTGAGCCTTTTTTAAAAAAAAACAACAGGTTTTAGCTTTCCTGATTTACCGTACAGTGTTTTGTGGAGCGTGCTGATTTCTATCTTTCTTTTTCATTAATTGCACGTGTTATTCTTCACCCTGCTAACGGCGTTTGTGACGGCGCAGAGCAGGTACCGCTATTCTGCAGCTGAATCAGAGCAGGTTTCGTCTTCCAGCGTGTGTGTGGTTAAACTCTGCCACAATGTCTCGGGGACAGAGATGACTTCTGAGGGTGGGGAGGAGGAGACAGTGGAAAGCATCAGCAGTCTTCCCTTCCCCAAGAGGACTGCGGGCACCCGAAGCCCCTTCATCACCAGTTTGTGAGAGGGTGCCCGCTGTCTCCTGATGCCGAGGGGACAGCTCTGGGCTGCAGCCAGGGGTTTTGCTCCCTGCAGGGCTGCCTTCACCTGCCAGGCATCGGGGCTCTCTGTCACCCCTTGCCCCAGGCAGAGGTGGAGGGTGGATCAGGAACTGTGGTGACAGCCTGGGTCAGGCTCCCTGCTACGAGCTTCGGGTTCAGCTCGGCAGCCCAACAGGTCTGGTGGGACTGAAGGAAACCTGGGCAGTGTTGAACAGAAGTTGTATTGCACGAGGAAGGCAACCCGGGCGAGGGAGAGGAGTGCCATGCATTCAGCAACGTGCTCCTGTGCGTGTCAGGGGGAAACAGAGGCACCCGTAGAAGGGGGTCTGCCTTCTCTTGGGTGCTGGTACCTCTGTGTAGCGTGCAGTGGCCCTTGCTGACACAGCCCTTGCTGTCTCAGCTGCAGATTTACACCCTCCCACCCCTGTAGCTGGAGGTTGGCCATTGCCAGTGAATTCTGAGACAGCCGAGACATTAATCAAACTGTAATTTGAAAAGTCCTTAAACTTGCATGGTTTACTTTACAGGATCTAGGTAGGATGAAAGCTATTCTTTTAGCTGGTCAGGTAGACTTGAGGGGGAACATAAGGTCCACGCCAACCAGTAAACAAGAATTAAAATAAACCTTCTCCTGTCTCTGCTGCTTTTTTAAGACAGACTTACCCTATCTGAAAAACAACTTTGATCCTAGACAAATCTTAGGATAAACCACAAATATGTCTGCTCTGGAATAAATCTATGTGGAGTTTCTGGATTTACATTCATAAAGGCTTAGCCAGCACTAATTAATTTGGAATAAATTAACTCAAATTGGAACAAGGCCACAAATTCTAGCCCAGGTTTGTATGGGGGGTTATTTAGCTGGGTCTTTCAGCCTATCATATGCATTATAAGAAGGTATTGAAATAATTGTATGTATATTTACACATGTACACACATGCACATATATATGCCATAATGCATTTTTTATTGTCCATCTTCTAGGTTCCAGTGAATGGCCAGCTTATAACATCAGTCAACATCAGAGAGAAAAAGCTCCTCAAGGTACCAGCAAGAGTTTTAGAGTTTATGTATTGTCTTTCAAGAGACACTTGTTTTAAGAATATTCCCTATTTGGTAGTCCTTTTTAAAGATAATTTGTTGTTCCTGTTGTTGGAGCACTTAACAGATGACATAGGAACATAAGACCAAGTAACTCTCTGGCACAGTCACGCTGTGGTGCTTGTCACGGTGTCATGGTTTAACCTCAGTTGGCAACTGAGCACCACGCAGCCGCTCGCTCACTCCCCCGCAGTGGGATGGGGGAGAGAATTGGAAGGGTAAAAGTGAGAAAACTCGTGTGTTGAGATAAAGACAGTTTAATAGGGAAAGCAAAAGCCGCGCACGGAAGCAAAGCAAAACAAGGCATTCATTCACTACTTCCCATGGGCAGGCAGGTGTTCAGCCATCTCCAGGAAAGCAGGGCTCCATCACGCTTAACGGTTACTTGGGAAGACAAACGCCATCACTCCGAACGTCCCCCCCTTCCTTCTTCTTCCCCCAGCTTTATATACTGAGCATGACGTCACATGGTATGGAATGTCCCTTTGGCCAGTTGGGGTCAGCTGTCCTGGCTGTGCCCCCTCCCAGCTTCTTGTGCCCCTCCAGCCTTCTCAGTTGGTAGAGCACGAGAAACTGAAAAGTCCTTGACTAGTGTAAACATTACCTAGCAACAACTAAGACATCGGTGTGTTATCAACATTGTTCTCACCCTAAATCCAAAACACAGCACTGTACCAGCTACTAGGAAGGGAATTAACTCTATCCCTGCCGAAACCAGGACACACGGCCACCACAAGTGGGACGGTCTTGTGGTCCAAGCCCAGAAGTGGGAGCTGGGATCTCCTGTATTTCAGTTCCAGCTCTGACATGGGACATTTCCTTGGGTCTGGGCAAGGGTTTTGTCTTGGGCATTGAGCACTTGTACTGGTGTGGAGGAAAGTGTCCGTGCTTTACAGACACTTCCAAGTGAGGAGCAGCCCCCCAGCCTGGGCAGGGAAGCATGTTCCTGGCAAGGGCATCCTGCCTTGGAAAAGTCAAGAACCGCTGTATTAAAACTAGAACATTCAAAATTGAAGACTTAAGGTTAGCTCTACTGTTTCATCAAGCCATATGAAAATGGCCTCAGGCACTGCTGTGCCCTTTCAGATTAGTGTAAACTACAGATACCTTCATTAAAAATAGGCTGTTTTATGGGGGTTTTTTTGGTTAAGCATAGGCAGAGTCCTAACTCTTGATTTCAGCATTTCTGGTTGTAAAAGGGGTAAATAATTTTAGGTTTTCCTCCTTTATAGGAAGAAAATTAGGACTTAGAAATGATAAACGCAAATCTTACTATAGAGCAGTTGCCTGAATTAAAATGGGAGCTTTCTAACCTAGCAGATAAGTCAAATTTTGTAGGCCAAAAGCTATAGCATTCATTGGTTTGGAGTTTGCCGTAAAACCTGCTCAGAAAGACTTTTGCAACCACTTAAAGACTCCAGCGACCTACTGCTCTCTCGGAGTACCACCGTGTGGTCTTCATTTCAAAACTGTTGCCCTGACTCTTTTTCTTCATGATGAAATGTAACAAATACCTGTTTTATCTTTCTGCCATGTACCTCCTGTATACTGTAGCCCAAGAAGAAGAGGAAGGCCCAGTGCTCAGACAAGGAGGTGCCAAAAGATCTGCTTTTGGTGGAAAAAGACAAACTGCAAGAGGAGGAAGGTAACAAAAGATGTGGTTCTTCTGTTATCTGATTTATATTACCAAATAATACCATGGGATGAAATATTTGAAAAGGGAGGTCTTCTCTCCTATTCTAGTGTTCTGTGTTATTGGGAAAAATTGCCAGTTTGAGAACTATTTCTATCATCTGCCCCTCACTATGTGTAACTACGCGGACAGGGACCGTGTGCTTTCCTGCCACACTTCTCAGGTCCTTACCGCATTCACAGGGATGGCGAATCTGCGGATGAGGAAGCATCTCTGAAGTGGCTAGGGGTCCAGTGGGTAGCGGGGTCCTGTCTTCATGCTTTTACTCTAATTCTGTGGCCTCTGCCGTGCTGATACACAGGTGAAGCTGTGGTCTTCCCAGGCGGCGTTTTGTTGTGCCCGTGATTGAGGCTGGTAAAGGCGCTGGGGATTTTTAGCCAATTTCTAGCACACCCATGAACAGGGCCAAGATCTTTGGTTGCTAGCAAATCTGCAGAGAAGTCTGGCAGAAGCTAGCAAGGCTTAGGCAGCTAGAATTTCATTGGAAAATACATTGTATCCCATGAGCCCCTCTCCGCCTCCCTCCACCAAGGGTCATATTGAAAACAACAAATTCTAAGCTCTTCTGGGCTTAAAAGATTATAATGTGATTAGCGTGGTGGTGAGAGCAAGAGAAGCCCTCGCTGCTGTTGGACTGGAGTCCTCCCTGTAGGCCCTTGCGCCAGGAGCAGAGTGCCTGCAAGGCTGCCGGAGGAGAATGGCAAACAGCAGAGGCTTTCTTCAGACAGATGTTTAGTTTTTTGAACGGATGAGCCAGCTGGACTGTTTCACGCATTATTCAGGGGTGGTTCAGAGAAAGAAGATGTTTTTCTCAAGTGAAATCCGTGGACTGTGTTTTTTTCTTTATTAACCATTTGTGCCAGTCCCTCCCCTGACTTCTTGGGTCTTGGAGAGCATGGATGGAGGCAGAACGTGGCCCTGTCGGTGTGAATGAATGCGTGTGGAAATCAGCTGTGTGGCAGAGGGTCTCCACATGACAGAACAAGTCTTAGGGTATGTTCAGGGCTAGAGAAAGCCAGTAAATGGAAGCCTTGTTTGATGGTTAAGATTTTCATGAGCTTCCCTCTGCTGTCCGATGTACAAAGCGGTTGATGCTCTGTTGTGACATCTCCCCCGAGGGAAAGGGGTGTCACATCCAGCTGACACAAAGGACAGAAGAATATGTGCAGTTACATGAGTCAGGACACATGACAGACAGGTTTGTGATGGGGATTTCTTAAGTAACACGTTTCTGCAGAGGCAGCAAACGCTGCACGCAGGGGAGATGCTGCTCGAGACCAGGACAGCACTTGCTGCCCTGGTGCCACTTTTACAGCCAGCATCGGAAACTATCAGATAGCTATTTACCTTTGTGCTAAGCAATAAAGGCAGAAAAGGAAGTTTCTTGTTAGCTTAAAAATGAACTTTGCTCTGTGTTGTAGGAGTTTGGCAGACCAAAATCAGCAGCCGAGAAAAGAGACACTTAAGGAAGGAAAGGCTGAAACAAAAAGGTAAATGTACAGGCTCAGTTTACACACCTGATCTGGCTGGGCTTGTCACCCCTTCTCTCTTCCCGGCATCTTTCTGTTTGCTCTGTTTGTCATTCAGCAGCAAAATCTTTGCACTTACTTAGGCTATTTACTTAGGAAAAGACAGCTTAGGGAGGTCTTACTTGGGAGCTTGCCTTTTACTCCAGGCTTTCATTAAAACACATAGTATTACCCATAGGACTTTGAAAGCAAACATCTATTAGATCTGAGATCTGCTAAAGGTTTGGTGTAATGTGGATTAGTTACTTTTGCGTGACTTGACAGAAGAAGTTTTCTGATAAGGGATGTATAAAAACCTGTGTAATTTGCTCAGTTCCGAACAGGTTCTTTAACCCAGGCCTGCCCAGAGTAAACAGCTATAAAGGGGGGATATACTCTTACCCTAATGAGACAAAATGAAACAATGCTTTGTGCTCACTCCACATTTTTCCTCTGGGGATCTCAAAGTGTCTGCCATGCACTTATGCCTATATACATTTCTACTGATTACGTTATTATAACCGCTGTATGAAAGCAGGTCATGGAATTAAGGCATTTGGAAATGTTTTAATTACCTGTGATAAAATTATTAATATAATAGACAAACCTGTAAGTTTAATATATTAGAGTAATTTAGAAGCTAAGATAGAAGTTTGGGATTGGGAGACACAGCTAGATGAATGTGGGTGTTTGTGTGCTGTCTGCAATAAGACTATCTTAAAGTGCTCTCAGATGCTCTACTAAAATTGAAGATTGGGGTAAGTAAATATCTAAAAATATACAGGCATTTTGGGACCACTTTCTCTATCATTTGGATTCTATAAATCAAGAGTTAAATATCTGCATGACAGTCTCTAAGGGCTTAAGGTGCTGAGGTCTCTACTTGCTCTCCAGCAAAGTAGATGGGTGCGCATTTGGCTTTATTCATGTGAGTTGGCCTGTTGGCATCGGTGGTGCCAGCTGCATGTGCAGAAGGTTAGCCACGCATGATTTAACACTAAGCCCATGCAGGCGGTAAATGCTTTGCTGGCCCAGGGCAAGGAAGCTCAGCAGACTAAATCGCAGTTGAAGCACCAGAAGTCCTTGGTGCAGTACTGGAGCCTGGGTTGTGCAGGAGGCTCAACCAGGTGATCATGGTGGTCCTGTTTAGTATGGACATTTACAGAGCAGTGAAATGTGCTCTTCCAGGAAGAAGCCCTAACCCTGCCAAGTGCTGACTGCTGTTTTCTAGAAGGGAAGAAGCAGCAGCAGCAGCATTAAGGTGTGTGAAGGTGGGGTTGATGCCAGCAGTGCTCTCCTCCCCACCAGAGTCACAAGAAAATGGAGCCCTAAAGTGCTTTGGGAGTCTTTTGGAACAAAAGATGTTGGAAGTAATTTTCATTATTTATAATATCCATATGCCCAGCATTGATTTCTGTAGCAGCCTTGAACTGCCAACATCCAAGAGGTTTGTTTTTTTCCTTGGAGGTCCTGCTGTCCTCTTTCTCTCCCTTTACTGCTCTGGGTCCCCAGCTGGACTCTGGAGGCCTTGAGCCACCGTTGCAGTCAGGGAGGGATGCCCAAGGCCTCTGTGGTGCGGCATCATCTCCTGTGGGACTCATTGCTGGACTGGGTGGTGCCTTCCTTCTCACATGGTCTTCACGTTTGCTGCTATGTCCCATCCCAGGGGCTCTGCTTTACTGTCATTGTATCTGTAAATAATTTCAGTTTGAGTATAGCCATTACATCTGATGGGTTTAGGTCAGGCTTTGCTCTGTTGTTTCCCCCGTACAAACTCTTCATTGTAATTAAAAATAAGGATGACCCTGTGATAATGTTTATTCCCGAGAAGACCCCAGCAGAGCATCCCTGGGTAGCTCAGCGGTTGAGCCAGCCTTTGGCTGGGATGAGAAGGGAGCAGTATGGCCACTCACAGAGGACACCAGTGGCGGTGGAAAAGGTGCTCTCGTTGCCAAGGCAGAGTGTGGGACCGTGCTGAAGGCCTCAGGAGCCATACAGGAAGAATCGGTGCCCTCCCAGTCAGAAGAGGATGTTTTCTGCAACGTAGGTGAGTGTCAACGTTCAAGCGTTGCAGAGGGAAAGCTTCATGAATTACTGTGTCCAGCAGCATACAGCCCCACCAACATTCGTCCTGCACACACACAGGACGAAGGGGGTTGTCCACCCCCTTTGGACCCTGCTAGCTGTTGTTTATTTCCAGCAATGTGAAAAGAGGGGTCTTTATGGCAGGAATTTCTTCTGTGTTGCGGACTACCTGTTGGGTGCAAGTTGTTTTCTACCTACAGGTATTTAGTGTTTGGTTCCTTTGCAAAGGAACCAAAGCCTTTCCTTCCGAAGATGCTCACACACGGTCAGAGTTAGGCTTCAGGGTATATCTGTGCATTTCAAAGCAGTGTGAGGCAGGGTATTCCTAAATCAGTTTGGGTATTTGACAGTTGAAGTAGTCTGCTCATGTCAGTGCTGTGCTGTACCTATACAGTTTGCCCAGTTTCGCAGCTGATTCGCCCCTTGTTGGTGTCCAAACAAGGTCATTTAGAGCTACTTTGGGTCTCAGTTGTGCTGCTAGTACATTCTGTGTGTAACATAAGCTGGAGGTGGAAAACTGCATCCCTCAAACCTCAGACACCTTTAAAGCAGTGAAGGGATGGACTGCCAGGCCATTAGGCTAAAGATGAGGAGATGCTGATATCAGCTCTCTCACTGGTATTTGATGACTTTTTGTTTCCATCATGGTTTAATTTTTATGGCAGTTATGTCTCACATTGTATTTCTACTGTGGGTGATACTGTAGAGCAATACCAATAACTAATAACTAGGTGGTAATTGGACCTTTTATATCTATCTTTGTATTTCTCTTCCTGACATCTTGGTGCGGTGGGAGAGTTACGAGTTAAAAGGTATAGTGGTTAATACTGCTTTTTGGTTAATTTTCAGAAGCATTTGATTTTCATTACAGTCTCACTGATTAATCGAGCTTGATGGCTGGATTGATTGGTATATAAGGCCATATGATGACGCACCTTCAGTAGCAGTAATCCAGTACTCTGGTGATTCAGAAAATGGTCTTAGGTTGCCCTTACATGAGTTGCTTTCTCTGCTAGAGTTCTTTTTTTGCAAAGTATAGGGTTGATGGGGGGAGGACGTTAGTACCATTTTTTACTCTAATGCTTTCAAAAGGCCAAATTCCAAGCTGATACAGGACGACAACTTCTGCCAGTTGTGCAAAAAGGGGACATCAGTTCAGATGAGTGAGGAATTTGATTAAGTCCAGAGAAGTGCCGTGCTGGTGTGACGTGCGCTTTGAAGGGCTGAGAAGGTGTACATGGCGACGGGGCTGGACGCTCTCTGTCCATAGAAGATAAAGTCTCCTTGCTTGATTCTTCTCCAGCAACAGCAGTGGCTGCAGGCTTGGGATGGAGAGAACATGGAAGGGCTGTAATGAGATTGGGAGTGTCAGGAAGAAACTGCAGTTGCCAGCTGTGGATGTGACATCGCATTTTGTGTTACTGTTTGTTTGCTTTTTAAATACAGGAACATGGGATATTGCAGAAGTAAAATCCTGTCCTGTGACCTTTGGGACGTTACCAGAGCTGTCCAGGGAGTTAGGTGAGTGGTCTCTCTTTGGACTTCTATCTCAATTCTTCTATCACTTTCTTAGATGCTTGGCCTGAAAGTACTCTCGTTGCTTACATATGGGTCTTTTCCCTTGGAGCCACATTTCGTTAGTCACTCTCCCTTGTAAGGCTTGCTCACATCTGCAATCCAGCGCTACCAGCATTTTAAGGAGTGACATCAGAAAGTTTTATTGAGCACTTTCCAAACGCGTGTCTCATCTTGGAATAAATAAAAAAAATATTGCCTCCCCAGCAAATTCTTTCTCTGTTAGGTTTACTTGCACAGAAGATTTCTGTTGTGTTCTGATGCCCAACAAATTCAGAGAATTTCAGACCGAGGGAGGGAGCAAACACCCAGGTTGGAGAGGCCCTGTTAGAGGCTGCGAGCCAGCAGCTTCCTTCTCTCCAGCACAGAGAGGGATTTTCAGCTTGAGCCTCTCCATGCATGGCCTCGAGAAGGATGGAGCATCTTCTGGTTTTGCACTTGTTTCTGACTTTTACTTCGCCTCTCTGCAACTGTCAGTCCTTCTCACTGCCTGGCTCTGAGCGCTCCTGCTTCATACACTTTCTGCCTACCAGAAACTCAAATTTGTCTGGAGATCCAACTGGCTGATGAATGCAAAGTCTAGTCCTGAATCTTTTAGAGATGCTAAAGGCAAGCATAGATACATATAGATAGACATCCATGCACAAAACAGCATGGGTGGTGTAAGCCAGAATGCTGAAATTCGCTTCTAAAGCCAGACATAGTAGTCAATATAACACGTGCCATATTTTATCATCTATTTTCCAACAGTGCATCAGTGGATTGAAGCAGTTCCTAATGTACAAGTGCTCGACAGGGAGAAATATTTGTTAACATCTGCATTTATGCAGCAAAAAATCAAGCTGATACAGAGCAAAACTGCGTAAACAAAGGAGTTCTTTAGGTGAAAGGAAGAAAGGAAAAACTGGAGATATGAAAAAAAATCTGTTGTGTATGAAAGAAATGAAGAAAACACTAGTCTGTTATGTACAGGCCTTAGAAAGGGGCTAAGGGGAGTCATTCAGGGAGGCATATGAATCCTACTGGTTACTTTAGTTGTTGAAAATAATCATCAGAAAAACTTTAACTCTTCTTTTTCCTCCAGCAGCTCTCTCTCATCTGTGCTCTTTCTTGGAGTAACTCATTTGGTAATTACGGATTTCTGTTAGAATGAGCAGGAGCTTTCTCACTGAAGTCAGTTGGAGCTGGATACACTGGATGCGGCTGTTGTTCTGCAGGAACTATAGCTCCCTTCTTACATCCCCAACAGTGATGTGTCGGAAGTTTACATCTCTGAATATCATTAGTGTAGCCACTCCTGAGTGGGTTGTTTTTAATAACTTAGGCATGTAGTGTCCTCGTCCAGCCTTCATTAATAAATCCACTGTGATGAGCAGCATAGATGAATATGTGGCTTAAATTACATAACGTCCAGGCATCATGACATAGCGAGCAGATAAAGGCATGATTAATTGGTTTTAATAATGTGAATATACCTATGTCATTATCTTTTAGGTTTGGGGGGTTTTTTTTGTTTTTATTTTAAAAAAGATGCTTTTCCTGTATGCAGATAACATGAAGAGTAGATCATCTGAGGACAGTCCTTCCAGATGCTGTTGGCACACCAGCTCGACGTTCCTCCCCGCAGACAATGCATGGCAGGGGCAGGGTACGTCTCTTCGCTCATTTTCTATTGAAAGACGAATGTACTAATGCTGATACCCTTTTCAGTCTGTTTTTTATGCCTCAAAAATCAGGGTCCACTTCACACCTGGCACAAGGCTGGCAGAGGTAAGGGAGAAATTCAGTTTGGGTCTGGTTTTAGGCAGGTACCCAAAGCTACTGCGAGCTCGGTCAGACCAGCAGGCGCCCTGCATGGGACCCTTGTTTTTACTTAGAAGGCGACAAAAAAGGGATGCAGTAGGTGCAGTCGTGTTCGGTGCATACATAGTGCTGTGCAAAGTGTAATTGGAGCTTTTGGGCAGCAAGGCCAGCCATAGGGAGGCTATCTAAAGGCTCCCATAGCCTCGGGTCCTCTCTCCAGCAGTTGCACATAGCAGTTGCTGGTAGATAAGCACAGGAACAGGGCAAGCACAGGGCGATCCCCCCATGTCCCTCCCCACACCCAGCAGAGAGTGGGTCAGGGACTTCCTGAGCCAGAGGCAGCAATATGGGCTCTGTGCTTCAAAAAAATCATGTGTTAGCAATCATCTCAGATTACTAAATTTGCAAAACAAATTCAAAATTGGGTTTGGTTTTCATAACTGAAGCATTGTGTTCCCCTCCCTCCCATTGTTGGGTGGGGAAGGTGGAGCTGAGTGGCCCCTTTCCAGGCAGCCCCCAGCCCGGGCTCAGTGGGTGGCTGGGGAAGAGCCATGGGAAGGACAGGGCGCTGCTAGAGCACGGGGTACCTTTGACAAAACTTAAAATTTCCTCTGTAATACCCAGAACCCTGGTGCAGAATCAAACTCCAGTGGACTGTGGCAATCAGGATTTCAGTCTTTTTATGGCTGATAATGTTTTTCTTTCAACTTTTAAAATCTGCTTGAAAGGCCAGCGTGGGTCCTGAGTGGCTGGAATAATTTGGCATGAACAGTGTGGGTATTAAATGGCCTTTTCTCTTGACCTTTTGGTCAGGATCGAGTGAAGTATCTATTTATACCCCTGTTGTTGGGAGGCCTTACCCTGCTCTTGCAGGGATGATGTCTGACGAGCCGAGCAGATCCCTTCTTGCTCTAGCTGCTCTGATTGCCTTAACTACAGGAGAACCCAGAGTGTCTGAATGCATTGAGGAGAAAAGACTGCGGTCGTCTTGCTTCTCTGCCCAGCGGTAACTGAGACTCTGCAACAGATGCATCAGCTTGGCCATCAGAGGATTTTATAAATAGAATAGTTTGCTTTAGGAAAAAAAAAAAACCCAGCCCCAAGCATTCCCCTCCCTTCTTAGTGCTGTGTTTGTTTACCCTCACATTGCTGCTGATGAGCGGGGGGCCCTTTGTAACTTCTGAGCCCAGGCTGGCGGGCGCAGGAAGGAGGGAGGCAGCATAGGTAGCTCTTCAGCAGCGTTTCCTTGCGTTGCGTTTAGCACGGGTCACACTTGGCATGCTCTGGATTTGATCTGCGGTTGCAAAGCCGGGCAGAGCTCCTCTTTTTTTGGTGCCGTGTCTGTCTGAGAGCAGAACAGATAGGAGCAAATTCAGCAGCTTGTTCTTGCAAACATCAGAGCAGATGCATTTTGATTGAAAGCAGAAATGGAAGGATTTCTGCCTGCCTTACAGCTTACTTCTTAGTAGTAGTAGGTTTTTTCCTTTGAATCATCAGCCTTGATATCGATGCAGAGAGGAGTGTCACGAACATGTATTCCCTGAATTTAGATGAGGTAATGGTTGGCATTAAGGTCTGCGCTGCAGGCAAAATGAGCTCTTTGACAGTTAAACAAGGCCTGTTAGCTCTTGCGGGCCTGTGAACTAAAAAAAATGCCATTTATAACCTGAATATGAGCTGGGGTCATTTTATCAAATACAGATCAGTACATTTAATGAGTCTCTTTGTTCTGTGATGGGCTGGTGCAGAAGAAGGAGCTGGATGCTGGACTCCTGCCTCTGCCCCGGCTCGCGGAGCAGCCTTGGCTGGCTCCTCGTGCCGCATCAGGTTATCTTTTTGTGAAGTACCAGTAATAATAACAGCCTAACTCACAAAAGGTTTGAGGCTTAAGTGTTGTTGCAACTGAAAGCATATATACATAGAGGGAGAGAGGGAGTTAGTAGTTAGGAACTGAGTGGTCAAAGCATATGGGAGTGTGATATGGGAGCGTCTAAAAGACTGATAAATCAGGCTGGTTTCAAAACAACACGCTGCTATGTTGACATTCATTAATGATACACATTGCTGACGGTTAATTCTTAATCATTGTCACATCCGGAGTGCTGCGCCCAGTTCTGGATTCCCCAGTACAAGATGGGCATGGACATACTGGAGTGGGTCCAGCAGAGTCCATCCGCATGCATGAACACCTGATGGGGTGGTTGCCTCTGGTCTGCCCAGTCAGTGGACAAGAGGCAACGGGCATGAAGTGAAGTATGGGAAATTCCATGTATACATAAGAAAAAGCTTTTTTTTTTTATGGTGAGGGCGGTCAGGCAGCAAAACAGGTTGCCCAGAGAGGCTGCGGAGTCTCCATCCTTGGAGATACTCAAAACCCACATGGCTACATCCCTGAGCAACCTACTGTAGCTGCGCCCGCTGTGAGTAGCGGGGTGGGACTAGACAATCTCCAGAGGCCCCTTCCAACCTCAGCGATTCTGTAATCCTCATTCTGTCATCAGTCGTTGTCTCTGCATATTCAAACAATTAGTCCTTAGCAATCTTAAGCCTTCGTTAGCTAGGGGTATTCAGTGTCTCGGAGCTGAAGCCACATGGTTAGCACTGATGGCTGCAGTCCCTCATGAGGGAAGGGGGCTCCAAAGTGGGCAACTTCTTTCATCCTTTTTTTTCCCTTCTCATTGTTACTGTTTGCATGCTTTTCAGCCCTGCCACAAAGAGAAAATCTCCGGTGCTTCTGGCATAGTTCTCTTTACTTTCGGGCCCGGGAGCTGCTCTGGTTTCGCCAGGCACCTTTCTTGCTTTTTCTGCAGGGTTGTTCTGGATCCACCAGACATCTCTTGCCTGCTCTGCCTCCTGTGCTGTACCTTGATGGCTTAACTGCTTGCACGTGTTTCCCAATACTGCCTTTGTGCAACTATGCCACACGTCTGCCGCTGCCCCTTTGGTGACATTTCTGTACTTAACGCTTAGCTGTCTCACAAAATGCATTATAGGCTGTGGCTGGTTTTGCTGTTACCAAATGTGTAACCTGCACAGTGCGGCCGGCTGGTCTGTTTTAGAGCACTTGGGTCTGGTTCCAAGGCAAACAAATACAGATTTTATGCCATGCGTCTGCTTCCAAGCGCAGTGGGCCTATGCTTTGGTGGCAGCGCAGGGCAGTCTCAGAAGACCCACGTTCTGCTTCACAAATGCAGTTTGTCTCATGACCACAAGGGCTGTCTTTTTACCTGTGACTTGGCATCTTCCCAATGAATCCTTCTTGATTGCCAAAGCAGATTTTCCCTGGAACCTTCAGAAAGCACCCGTGTCTCATGACTCCCATCCTTCCTTCTGTCCTGGGGTTAAAATGAATTTTAATTCCTTTGTTTCATGGGAATAAGCAGCTTCTTTCAATTAAAAGAAGTCTTCAGTCTGGGATTTATTTGATATTTTTGCATCTACTGAATTATGCTAGAGGAAGGTGCCAAATGAGGGACTCCTACACCCAACTGTTGGTAGCAATAATTTTGACCTGTAACACATATATGCAAGCTTTAGACTGGAAATTGCCTATCCATTTGCACTGAATGCGTTCCACGTGGCCTACAAGTGAGGGCTCTGCTTCCACACCCACGAGAGCAAGGATTTGGGTTAGGACCGTGCTCATTACACAGCCACCTGCCCTTTGCAAAGGGACAGGTTTTCTACAGCAGCCACAGAAGGACTCAGCACCATAGACAATACGCAGTCCACTGAGGATTTTGCTCTGCCAGATGAAGGGCTGCTCTCCCTTAGGTTTCTGCTGACCATATTGGGGAAGAGCATGCCAAAGAGGAATGCTGATAGCATAGGATCCAAACCTACATCTCTGGACTAGAAATTTTTTAATCCCCTTCTTGGTGACACAGACTGATTTTTGCTGCAGTACTTTCCAGCTTCGTTTTGCAGGCCAGATAATCAGGTTCAGCCTGTAGAGTACTCTACTCTACCCTCTCTATCAGCCGGCATAGGGAGCCTGCTGACTGTCCCCTTTGACCAGACCCTGCTGCTGTGAGGCCCTGTTTGCCTGCTCCCTGACACCTCCCAGGGCACAGCTGGCTGCTCCCCAGCATTGCCCAGGCAGCTGGAGACCAAGGGCATTCGGGTGGTTGGCGCTGGGATGGACTTTCTGCCTGCAGAAGTGCTGTCATCCTCCCTGATTTCTGAAGACACCTTCAAAGTAGTGCCCTTCAGGATCTTAAAGTATCTTCATTACACGGGGTATGTGGAAGTCACCTTGGCCCTGAAATGCATGCTGCAATGGGACATGTTTGCTGCTAGCAGGGAACAGAAAAGCACAGCTTTGTCTGGGTGGAGCTGCTGGGGGACTGAGGTGGGTTGCATGCAAGAATCTAGTTGGCAAATGGCATTTAACAGCACTGCTTTTGTAAAATAAACACA